TATTATCACTCCAAACCATAATCTAGGGGACCATTTTAAATTTGAAACATTCTAGTCTCTTTAAGTCCTCATTTTTTCAATGAATTTACATGCAATCATTAATTTCCACAGTTTTCGCATTTTTTGGAAGAAAAATCCACTATTTATTTTCTTTCATATTTTCAGTAGCCTTTTAGATTTTCACTTAACCCTAACCCTGCCTGCTTACCTAAAGGGGATTGGGTAATCATTATATATTTCCAACGCACAAAATATTTTAATGTTCCTGTTCTCAATGAACTCACGTCAAATGCCTGACCCCTGTTGAAAATGTGTCCCTGTAGAATCTTGAATGTTTTTTTTAGTTCACTTGATTCATCCATTAATAACGTATCATGATTTCCATGGTTACACCAGTGACATCTCGTGGTTATCGTAGGCATCACTGGGGATGGAACGACAACTCAAAGCTCTATTTCTCTTCTCATTGTTTGAATCTTTTAGATCTTCAAAACCTCCAATTTCTTAGTAAATGCCTTTGGAACTGATCCCAGTCAGCTAATGATTATGGGCACTTCTTTAACTTTTATACTTACAGATTTTGGCTGCTCTTGTGCAAGGTTTTCATATATTTTTCATTTTCGCCATTAAGCAGAGTCTTTTAACATCTATTATTATTATTACTACTACCTGAATGTGATTCTACGTACGTATGTTTATATTTTGGGGCCAAATTTACGAATCACCCACGTAAAAAACAGTAAATGAGAAGAGTATCGCTTTTTCGTCAACACCTTTCTGCAGTATTTGTATATCGATATATCGATAAGATATGTGAATTTTATCAAAATTATTTTAATTTGTACTGGGTCTCATGAGGGGAGGACCCAGTGAGAATCGAAAGTTCCATCTGACATGAAGTAGAAAGATTATATTGAATCCATTGTTAGGCCAGCTGCTAAGAAAGTCGGTTGACTATGTCGGGAGAGACAATTCTTCTCTCCAGAATCTATCATATACATCTATAAGTCTACCATTCAACCATGCTTAGAATATTGCTGCCACATATGGTCCGGTGCCTCTGCTATTTACCTTGAGATCCTTGATAAAATCCAAAGAAGAATCTGCAATATTATTGGTCCTGATCAGGCATCTCAGGTCCAGTCACTTCCCCACCGCCGTACGGTTGCCTCTGTGTCTTTTCTATAAATACTTTCAAGGTAATTGTTTGGGTTAGATCTTTTCTATGGGACATAGACTTTAAAAATTTAAGCGCAGTACTAGACTGGCGTTGAGATCTCATCAATTGACAGTTGTAGCCGTAAGTTCTATGCTAACAGTTTCTTCTCTCGTACTTCCCGCTCCATGCTTTCCAGCCTCCTTGCTTTCTAATGTCACCATGCTCACTTATACAAATCTCATTTCTGAGCAGATTTCTTTGAGATGCGATTCCCCTCTGTATATGTTTCGGCTTTAGAGTGTCATACATGCCTTTATTGATTATTGCTTGTCTCTTCAACAGGTGGTGCTTGAGTTATTGAAACTAACCCAACCATTGGCGCATGCGCGGAACGATCAGGTAAAAGGAAGCGGAAATTTTCTTTGGGATTTTCTTCTACATTCAAAGAGATGTGAGCAAATAAAGATAAATTGTTGGTGTGATTAATTTTATCCTGTAACTCAGTAGTAGAACGGAAATTGATCGAAAATACCGGGTTGATTGAAGATCGCTGTATAACAGTATTATTTCTATCACCTGAATATATGTATAAACGCGTAACATAACAGCGAATTATCTCCCCTGGTTTCAGCAATAAGAAACAGAAGAATAAATAAATGTATTGAAAATCTAATAGAAATTGTGTGACGTTCAGCTGGTCAGCAGAATAGGATTAGTGCAGGTCGACCAACATTTATAAAAAAAAAAAAAACTACTATAAAATAGCAGTCGTCTCTTTAACATGACTCGCCATTAACAATGGCAGCCAGCCTTGTTCTGTCGAACGGAGAATAAATCCTTCCAATTCAACTATTTTGATGCACAGTTGCAGATATTGGGGAAATCAGTAAGCAATCAATAAAGAGTGAACACTATTCATCGATTTCTCTCTCCTTTTGTTAGAATGTAAACAATGAATGGGATGCGTATCAAAATTAAAATCGTTGCAGTTGAATGTACAGGATGCGACAGAAATACCTCCCATATTTTAAAGTTTGACAAAAAGGCTAAAGTAACTGCTATTAAAAAAAAAATCATTTCACTGTTCTTTAAACAAAATGCTATAGTTTTTATTCATTTAGTTTTTAAAATGACACCCTCCAAATAGTGGCCTCTATTCGACATTGTTGTAGACGATTTCTAAATCTTTCCAACATCCGGAAGTTCAAGTGCTTCAGAATCTTCCAGGTGTGGCTCTTTGAACTTGTGGCCCTGAAATGTTCAACCCATAGCAGTATCGATTGTCTATGCGGACCAGCATTATTCCGACATTACATGAAATGAGAACTAAAAACTCTCTGTGTTGTAATTACAGATTCACTAATCTTAAAAAAACGCTTCGACATCAAACGCACGGTGTGCACCGGTCCAAGCCATGATGGTAACTGATGGCATCTGAAAAAATGGTAAGACATTAGCTATACGAAACACCATTGCCACTTGGCTTAGTTCACTAGCACTAGACAGGTTACAGTTTAAAATGTGGGAGGTACTTCAGCCGAACCCATTACAATGCACATGCTCTCTGCTTCTGTAGGTGAGTATAATTGAATGCTTATAAAATATTTCGTATTCGGAGGTTCTTTTTGCTCCAACCTAAGTTTAAAACAAAAACTGTTTCTTTTTCATAAAATAAACTCATGATTTTTCCTAGGATTTACAGAAAAACTGTAGTAATCAACAACTCTAGATAAAAATAGTGATTTACCAAGCGCAGCTTAGATGAGGCACAAGGCTGAAAGTATGGGACACCTAGTGAGGATCGAACTCACTACTCAGTCGTAATTGTTCTAGCGAGACAAGATTTCTAACTATTACACCACCCCGAGGTGCCCAACTCTAGGTAAAAAAAAAAATACATAGAAAACCTTTTTAAAGTTTGTATAGCGCTACCAAAACTCAAAGATCAATAATGCTGGGCTCTAGAAAATGAAAAACGCAACATTGTGTTGAATAAAACAACTGCAGTGACATACAGACAGACCGCAAGAATGAAATATACTTTGTTTTAATTTGAAACCATTGTAGTTACTCAAGTGTATTTGTTTGTTTGCGTGCAGGTGCGCTGAAGAGCCTGATTTCTTGGTAAACTAAATCTTATGCTTTCATCATTTTTCTCTTTCCCCTTTTCATTCCATTTTCTGTTCGTATTTATTTTTGTAGTAGTAGCAGTGATCGTTGTAATTGTTATTCTTCTTGAATGTCAGGATGAATCTCAAGTGACATATTTACAGTGAATTCGATCCTCACGGGGGATTCACGATTAATTTATTCCTAAAGAAAGCTGAGCTCGGTAAATATCTACGACAATTTTCTTGTGTTTATACAGATCATTTCCTAATATTTCGCTTATTATGATGACGAGGACGTCCTCTGAAGGGGTGGGGGGACCTGTTGGTAGTAAAGAGCAATCCAGACCTCAAGCCGAACTCATCTGAACGACGATCCATCGCTGAAGATGCTAAAACAATGGTCGGTTTCTTGTCCCGCGCCAGAAAATGCCTGACTTTTATTGTTAGGCTCTATATTTCCATTTTTCAGCGGAACTTGTAAATATCAAACGAAAAATTGATTACTGCTGTTATATTTAGTTTGGTTCTTCACCACCCACCAATTTTCATGCTTGGTAGAATTTAAAAGTATCTACGTGGCCTTGTGGGTGGTTGATTGTTTCCACCCTACAATCACTTTCCCACCAACGAAACGTTACCAACCTCTCGAACTCTTCGCTACGTTCCTTAATTCCACCATTTCAAACATCCACAGCTAAGACCCACCATGCCATGTACAATGGAACGAATTATCCACCCATTCTCTTCCTATTCCATTATTAAGAAGAGTGTGTTCCATTCAGACAGCTTCTATCCAAGTTACTTAGTGGAACACACTCTCGAGATGTTGTTTCCGCAATCATTACAATCTTAACCTTTTCAGGGCTCGGGTTAACCGTTATCTTTACTAAATATCTTCATAATCTGAATTTTGAGCCTTGCGTTCATACAACAACCTTATTCCGCCACCCTCTTTCTTTAGTTGCGTCTGGGTCTTGTATTTGCGTGAACAATTAGTAAATTACGTATTTACTTTATATTTTCCAGGTCTTTGTTGTTATAAAGAAAAAGGAAAAAAATGAATTTTCTTAAAAAAATATTGTTTACTATGAAGCCCTAAATTAAATTAAAGAAATTATTAAACCGCAAAGCAAAGTTTTTGTCAAAGTATTTTTCCAAACAAATCAACTTATTCTAATTTCATCGATTGATTTGTGAAATTGAACAAAACGTAGAGTTTATAAATCTCGACAAAAATGTTAGCAATAACTTCAACAATAAGAAATACTGTAAGGATTTCAACAACAAAAAATTCTAGTTAACAAAACACAATATAACTGACATTTTCAAGTGAATGTAATTTGAAACATATCACAAATTCTCCTGATAACAAACGCTAAAATTATTGATCAGATTGAAAAGTTTTCTTGCGTCAATTTTCCCTTTCACTGGTTTTCTTGGTTCAGTGATTGCGAGCGGTTGAATCGTCGTAAGTGTAGCGTAACGTCATTCGGGCTGAACTTCATGTCATCTGCACATGCGGTTGCACGTTTTGCTGTTAATTCACTCAATTTCATATTCGACCTTTTCGCAGCGAAAGGACAGGGATGGATTCGAGAGAGGTTCGATCAGGCAGCCAATTGCCGGTCATCCGAGATTGGATTTCTGAATTGCCGATAGACACCTTGCAAGAAAATCCATTCGTCTGCATTCTGAATGACGCAAAAGGTTAAGATTTCTGAATGCCAATCATGCCCGACATCCATTGCCATTATTCACCCCCCCCCCACTTCCCGTCACTCATTCACAGTTCCTTGAAAGTGTCTTCTCTACATTATCGTGTCTCCTCTTACACCCCATTCATCTTCCTCCCCTTCTATTCATCTACACTCCCCCCCACTCTAGGAACGTCTTCCGTCTTTTTCTTCTATACTCCATTTTCTCCTTCACATTTTTCTACCATTCTCATCTCAAGATTTGTTTTGACCCATTTTATTCACGTTACCCTCCTCCTACTCCTCCTCCTCCTTCTACTTCTTCTTCTTCTTCTTCTTCTTCTTCTTCTTCTATGTTTCCAGGGGGTGAAATATGGTTATGTGGAGAAAGAAAAAAAGGTGAAATGAGAAGATAAACTATTAACAAAACCTCATTAATTGAAATACAATTCAAATGGTGAGTGGAGCCGCTGGATAGGTAATAATAAGATGTGGGCCTTGAAGATCTGTCTAGCTCACCTTGGTGTAATAGTTGACACTCCCTGTACCCAAAATACCCTGTCCTTCCAGATATTTTCGTTAGGGCCAACTGTTCCCTAACTTCTTCTTCTTCTTCTTCTTCTTCTTCTTCTTCTTCTTCTTCTTCTTCTTCTTCTTCTTCTATTATTTTAGCTCCAAAGAAAGAAAAAAAATTCTCTTTATTATATGTTTTGCTATTTTTTTTGCTTGGTACGTTTTACCCTCCGGCCTTCGTCAGTTGCCTGCTTTCATACTCGCTAGTCTTGGAATTTTAAGGATGGTAGATTTCTCTCAATCTGTTTTCTATACCTAAGGGATATTTCAAATGTGTTAATACTTGTCAACGTTAATCACCTTTGTTTCTGGGGGGGGAGGTCATTGAACCAGAGTATCTTCTCAGCACAAGCAGAACTAGGGATTGAACTCACATTTACCAGGAAATCCGATATACTTTAATCAACGTCTTGAAATTTGAGAACGTTAAATCTAATGTATGTCGTCAGGTGGTGATACTGCATGAGTGGAACGTGGTGGAACTTTGATTGAATCACGCTTCTTTCAAGCTTAATGATACTCTTCCATATTGTGCTCATCACTATGCTAAGTCTACTGAGAAAGTTTTCAGTGCCTAAAATTTGTTCTGATTCTTTCAGCTGTCCTATTATCCAGTGTTGTTCTCTGTCTATTACGTTAACTTCATTTTATAATGAACATACTCATGGGTAAATGTCCGTCCTATTTAAAGAAATGTACTCACTTTATCGATACCATCAGAGACGCATCATTTTATAGCAAACGGGTGATGAGCATGGATGTTGCGAACATAATCTTGAAGATGCTGTACAAGCAATTCTATGCACAGTTGGGTTCTGGCGTATACCGAGAGGAAGAATACTTAGCTATGGAATCACCATTATCTCTAAAAATGGCAAACTTATTCATGGAATAATTTGAGAAAATGGCTATAGAACCGACGCCACAAATGCCACTATGTTGCTTAGTTATGTCATTGACACTTTCATGTTCTAGTCCTAGCAGGAAAATGTGCACATATTGCTGAACTATACATTTCAGAACTAAAAAGAAGAAGCAGAAAATGTATTGGCCTTTATTAAATATATAAATAATTTGCTTACTTTGAGTTAAAATTCTCCGCATATCGTAACCGAACATTCACTGTATTTTTATATGGTCTTCAGTGCCAAACATCAATGCCGTATCAAGCTATCTCTCGGAAAACAAGCCTCACTTGTAAGTTGTCTACATAACGGTCAAGATGAGGATGCTGGTCGAATAGCAAAGCATATATTAATTATAATTCTTCATCAGAAAAGCTTCGACAAAAAAAAGGAATCTTATCTTTTTTGTTAGTATTTCTTATTTGGAAAAAATATAACTTTTATTGGCCCCTGATCAAATGAAAAGATTTAATTCTTTGAATAAGGGAAACCCATTTAGTTAGGATTTGGATTTCACATAAAAAGCGCTATTTTTGTTTTTATTTTCTGTAATTTTTCACAGACTTTTATCAAGTGATAGCAAGTCTCCTCTAGTCTCCAGCTGTCTTCTCCCTATTGCCATCCACTTTGTCTGCATCGCACTTCAATTATTCATCGCAAAAATTGTTGAGGCTGTTCCCATTGCTTCAGGGATTATGGAGACGGAGACATCATTTACTCTTATGATCCCTTTTTTTTTTTTTATTGAGTAAAACTTGAATGTCTTTTCCTTCATTGATTTCCCTATGATGTGGAGTGGTTTCACAGTGGAGGCTTGTATTTGTACTAAGTCGGCCCTAAAATAGGTTCGACGTACAAAACGTTAGGAACTTCATATAATAGGTATGACAGAGTAAATCTAGTTGTGGTCGCTGATACTTTAGTATCCGACTAACGGTCGTCCGGCATCGACTGACTGACCGAACCACTGAGCGACTACCACGTTACTCTTACTACTCCTACTTATTATAGGTGGGAGAGTCTATTAACTATAGAATAGGTTTGTTCCACTATAACATCCCCCCCTAAAACTTTATTCCGTAGGAGTAAACAGTTTTATTTATTTATTTTTTCATTTTTACAGGAAATATGAAGAAAAAACAACAAAAAAAACTTCATTCTTTTTTAGTAACATCGTAGCGTATCTCCTACGTTTTTTGATCCACTTTTAAATGATCAGTTGCCTTTCTTTTTCTCCTGGATCGGCGTACCTCAGGTAAAATTGTTGCAGGCGTTGTTAGAACAACCGTATCAAAAATCACCTCCATCGGTGTTTCTTCCGCGTGACCGCTGTCAACCACGTCTGAAAAACGTCGTCTGATCTGGTTACTGCACGTGAATTTTTCGCCTTTCACCAAGTACATCATATTGCTAATCCGCTTCTCTATTTTTTGGTACCTCCATAGTGTTACCAGAAACAACCTTCCACTTTGAACTTCTTAAGGATGGAGTCACAATTTCTGTAGGTTCTTCTTGTGGTTCTATTTGTTCAGCCTCTTGCTTCCCTTTTGTTCATCTTGTGCTTCTTAACGTTTTCTGTGGTGACGTCAGTTGACTTAAATCATTTAATAATACTGCATGTCCTTGGCTGCGGGTAACTCGCTCCCCAGTTTTTCTAGGTGTCGGCTTCATCTTTACTTTCTGGAGCTTGTTTTTCACGTATATCGTCGGTGTTACCCATTCAACTTTTTTAAATACATCGGTTTTCTCTAATCTGTCCAATTCTATCTATTCAATTAAAGCAAACAGCACAATCCTTTTCTTTTTGAAAACCGCCTGAGCGTTTTGTTTTGGCTGTAATTTTGCCTCCATCTTGGTACACGTTCCCAAACATGGAGAAAAAACAGTAGAAAATGTTTCCTTAAGTTTCCTTACTAATTTTTGGGCTTCGTAGTTTAAATTTTCTACTTTGTAACAGAAAGAATTTATCGGTAGATCCCATAATTGAAATTATGTTATCCAATTCGTACCAAGTAAGTTCGTGGTATTTTCTATGACAAACAGTTTAGCTTTACGCGTTTTTTTATTTAACGTGACGTTTGTAACAAATTCTCCAATAAATTGTATTTTTTCTCCCGTCACTGACCTCACGATTTTATTTGTCTTCATTAAAGTTGGTTTCCCCAACTTCTTCCACGTATGCAAATTTATGATAGATAGGTCGGAACCAGTGTCGAGTTCCATTTTTATTTTTTTATTACTTATTTCGACGGTAACACATTTTCTGGTTATTCCATCGTTCACCTCGTCGGACTTTAATTTTCTTATTTTATTGTCTTTATTTTTTGACCTGCAGTGCGAGCTTTTATGACCAACTCTTTTACAGTTGAAACAATTTTTATTCCTAAAATTGCAATATCTGTACCAGTGAAGTTCACCGCAAGCAAAACATGGCTTCGGGAGTTTTTGTTTATTTTTCTCTGGTATTTCACTTTTTGCTTGATAATCTGCAATTTTAGAATTCTTTTTGGTAGACTGACTTTCTTTTTTCCTTACATGCTAAACGCCAGACTGTTCTATCTTTTTCGAATCTTTCTTTACGCTAACATATCTTGTGTAGTCTTCTGCCAACTTCTGTATCGTAATTCTTGGTTCGTTTTCCAATTTTGACAGCACTAATTTTCTCAATTCTGCGTCTCTTTCCGATACCAGCCCTTGAACAAACACTAAGCACTTAAAATTGTCAGCGCTTAACTCTGCTAGCTTGAATTCTTCACAATGCTTATTCACATTGGCTGTGTACGTTATATAGTCTTGTTCGTCATCTTTCATCAGATTCAAACATTTCCACCTCTTGTGAAACAAAGATGTCTTTTTACTAAATAATTCACTTAATATATTTACCGCCTCGGTAAATGTCAACTCGCTAGTTTTTTTTCGGTAAAATGTAGTTTACCAATTTCTTATGCTCAGCAGTTCCTAACTTGCTTAAAAGAAGCCTAACCTTCTTTCCTTCAGACCACGAATGGCAGTCCTTGTTATACACTTCCATATATTTTTTATAATACTCCTCAAAAGTTATCTCTTCATCTGGACTGTACGTGAATATTTCAATTGAATTCCCTATTGTATTCTCTGGGAAAGAATCATTTCGTAGATTTTTCTCTTTCCTCTTCTCATTATTTTCAGAATTTTGTTTTGAAACTCCTTATGCATCTGTTCTATTTCTCGTTGAAACTGCATCTGTCTATTAAAAGTTTCCCCCTGTAGCTGCATCTGGAATGTTTTCTGTTGCTCTAATATTGTCATCTGTTGTTCCGACTGGAACTTAAAAAATTCCCAGAATATATTTTTGCATTCCTCCATCTTCGCAAAAAGTTTACACAATGCTTAAATATTGTAGAGGGGGGGATCTAACGAATTTGCAATTCGTGACCTATTTGAGCAAACTTGTCTCATCGAGAAAAAAATTCTTTTCTCAGTTGAGAATACGACAGATTTTTTCGTCACTAAGTTGACGTCTTGTCTTTCGAAAAACTTTGCCAAGTATTTTTTTTAAGCATGAATCCGAGATTTTGTCGCCGAAATTGTGACGAGCAAGTTTTTTTCTTTTTTCTCCGTATGAGTATGAATTTCGTCATCAAATAATGTTGTGGCGAATTTTTTTTCCTCTTCCACCGTATGAATTCGAATCCCTCGTCGACAAATAATTGTTGTGGGGTGATTTCACAGTGGAAGCTTGTATTTGTACTAAGTCGGCCCTAAAATAGGTTCGACGTACAGAACGTGAGGAACTTCATATAATAGGTATGACAGAGTAAATCTAGTTGTGGTCGCTGATACTTTAGTATCTGACTAACGGTCGTCCGGCATCGACTGACTGACCGAACCACTGAGCGACTACCACGTTACTCTTACTACTCCTACTTATTATACGTGGGAGAGTCTATTAACTATAGAATAGGTGTGTTGCACTATAACACTCTATCAACACATAACCCCGCTGGAATGAAGCACATCTGATATTTGATAGATTCTTTCTTGTTTTGTAAGTTGGGAAAAAAAGCGACAGGACTGAATATAAAAAAAAAATAAAAATAAAACACTGAATGGCGAAAGGTTTGCCGCTTATTATAGTAAATAATCATTTCAGGGATTTTTAGCATTGAAACACGGAAAAATTCATAAAAAATATTTGTATATTTCCCCTCAATTATTAAAATCATTCTGAATATTATATCATTGTAAAGAAAAGACTTTTTTCATAAGTGATAAATATCTGTTGTATGTGAAGTTAAATGTCATTCTTCCTGTCATGCACGGATTTCCAACTAACA